GGCTCCTGGGCTGGGGGAGCTCCCTGGGAGCCCCGAGGGCGGAGGGGGTGTGGAAGTGCCCCGGAGGGAGGGGGCAGCCGGGCGCTGTGGGTGCCCCGGACCGAGCGTAGGCAGGGCTGTGCCGGGGGAGAGGGACGAGGACGGGCATGGGCGGCTCGGGAGGGTCTCTGGCGAGCTGCGGCTCCCTCCTCAGCGCTGCACTGGGCTGCTCTCTGGGGTGTCTTGTTAAAGCCGGGTGGTCGTTCCTGTATTAAACTATTTCTCTAACTACCGTTCACATCTTTTTTACTTCATAATACGTGCTCTCAACCCCAAAGGTGTTTTAAAAGTTACAAAATAGCATTTTTACTATTTTTTTGGAGACCAAGTGGTGGGTTTTTCCTACATGCATCAAACTCAGAGCATGCTTCCTAGTACTGTGACTCACAAACAGCTCTAAGCTTCGTGCTCTTGTGACAGATTTAGATTGCCTCTTATGCATCTATGTGACTTTGTAATACTTACATCAAACTCAGAGCATGCTTCCTAGTACTGTGACTCACAAACAGCTCTAAGCTTCGTGCTCTTGTGACAGATTTAGATTTTAAACAGTGCCTCTTATGCATGTATGTGACTTTGTAAGTATCTCTAATACTTAAATGCTTATATTTTGGAATGTGAGTAAGCAACAATACTGCAAAATGATCCAGAAAGCAGCACATTTTTGTCTCAAATTGTGCTAAACCAAATCCACCAAGGATCTAGTCTATTTTGAGTAGTATAGTGGAAGATTTTAGGCTTAAAAATTCCACTCTGTACATCTGCTTGGTTAGAATATGAGCTTTTGTACTCTTTGGAACTGGAGATTCATATTGCCAGAATCTATTCGGACCTTAATTTTAGCAAAGAGGAAATTAGAGCTTTTTTAGATGCATTATTTCATTAATCTGTATTTTTCTATTAATGGCTTTCTATTAACTGATGTCTGTGCTTTTATAGATGACATAAAATCATTACAACAGAACTATTTCTAAATTAAATCTTCATTTGCAATCCCATTTTTAAAAATGAGAAAATTAATTTTCCCCTTTAATCTGGAATAGGTGATCATTTTTTTAAAAAAACCTACAAGTAAAAGAGGATAGTGAAATTGCTGATGAAATTGTGACAGTAATCTGCTATAAAAAGAAATGTCACGCTTTCAGTCCCTGTGATTTTAAATATATCTTCAAAATGGCTTATTGTACAACAGATGAAATATTTCTGGAAAGGTGAAATTAGCTAAAGTTTGAAAAGTCAGTTCAGTTTGAGAAAAATAGGAAAGCACTCTATAGTATAGAAAACAAACTTTCACAAAGTCTTACGATATTATGACACTTTATGAAAGTTCACATAACTAGAAAACATAGTAAACACTGAAGGAAATGTTTTTGGGGGTGTATTTGTGTAACTAAAGGCCAAAAATTGTATTTGGGGATGTTTAGAAGTAACTAGTCCCTTTTGGTTTTATTTTGTTCCCCCCCTCCCCCAGCTCTCTCTTTTGCTTCTGCTTTTTAAAAACACAAAATGTCTGAAGTTAAGCAGAGGAAAAAAGGTACTTCTTCATCCAAGACCGGTGAAGGTTCACAAAAGGTTGAGAAGCACAGTAATTGTGGGAAGCTGGCGAGTCCCAGGACCAGCGATAATCGGTGTTCCTTTTGGATGGACTCACGGACAAGCTTGAGCGTAATTTCCCTTGCTGTTTGCCTAGTGCTAACCTGGTAGGTAAGCCTCTAAAGTGGATTTTAATATTTTCTTTTGTATTCTGTAGTGTATTCAGTCACGGTCAATATGATTAGTTACATTTGAATAGAGTGTTTGGGTTAAGTGACTGTAGAAATTTGTTAAAGCTAGAAGGATCAAGAAAAGAATAGCAGTATTCACAAGTGTGGAAACATTGGCATACAGTGAGGTATTATAGAAGCTCGATCTGTTCTATCATGTTGGAAGTTTAAAAGGTGCCTTGATCATGAATTGTAAATACCTGCTTTGGAGACTACATCTAACTCTGAAGAACCTTAATCTGACCAATAAGTACAAAAAGGCTCATCTGGCATGTAATCAATAATCAATAGTAGAAGTGGAGTTTTCTGTAAATAATTTGCTCGGCAGTGTGGTAAATTGTTCATCGGGTGGACTCTTCAAGTAAAGGTCATATATCTTTGTAAAAGATGTTTTAGAATATCTTAGCAGCATCAGTACCTTAGTTCCATCAGAAACTGAGCTGCTTGCAGAAATGGTATGATGAAATTCTGAGAACTCTAGTGCAAGAAATGAGTGTAATAATCTGGACTATAGACATCAGTCTGAAAATCGAGGTAAAATTTGTTCTTATTTTAACATCACCCAGATTTCATTACCTAAAATCTCTAAGAAACAGAATGACACAGTGGAATAAAATGATTAGTGATGCTTCTGCTTACTGTTTTATGTATATCTGTTTTGCGTGTGTCTTATCTATAGCTAGCATTTTAGCTTCTATTGCCTAACTTCATCTGTATAGACTACTCTAGGTCTTTTGAAACTTCTAATTGCTATGCAATATACTAATAAATATAAATTTATGAAAGCACGAGTATTTTAAATAAACTCTATTGTTCTAGATAAAATTGTTCTTACTACTCAGAGGACCCCTGCACAGTCTACAATAAACCTTATTTTGGGATTAATAAATATCCAGCAAAATTCAGGTTTCTTGCATGGTTGTTGCATTTTCTTTTTAACTGTATAAAGTGCTTACAGTTCAGAAAGCTCCCAAGTTCACCGTTTATGAATCAAGAATGTATATAAAGTACAGAATTGAGATCTCTACTGTCTGTTCACAAAGCTAGCATCATCATAACAGTAGCTATACAAAGCTTTGCCACAACGCACCATGTTTTTGAGCAGTTACAATTAAACAACACTAGAGTCAACCAGCCTTTCTAAAGCCAAAGGCTTCTGTACATGATGTTGCAATGCTTTGCAAGAAAGTAGAAATTTTTTTGTGTGTGTTTTATTTCCACTGGTTAAATAATACTTTATCCATAAAATATGTTGTAAGGCAATGCATTACGAGCATGTAATGGCCTCCCTATGTCAGCAGTCTTATCTGATGTTTTTCCTCTTTGAATGGCATACAGTGTAAAAACGAAGCACATCTGTGGATGTTTCCTTATTTTTTCATGTCTCTTGGAAGACAACTCCAGTATGAAGACAGATCAACTTTATTAAATCCTAATTTTTTTTTTCTTCCATGTATTGATCTAGCAAATTCTGTGAACACAAATCCCTGCAGTAGCAGATTGCTGTGAATCGGGTCTCGGAACACTTAATACATGCTAATTATGTAGTTATGTTTACTGTTTATTTACTTGCAATTTGCAGGTTCCTATTTCAGCAGTCAGGTCAATTTGCTGATATGGAAAAAAAGTACAATTTCTTACAGCAAGAAGCTGAAAAATTCCTGGACGTGGAAAATAAAGTTAACTTAATTTCTGGAAAGGTAACCATTAACATCTTAATTGGATAATCTCTAGTGAATGTTCACTGTTGTTTTACTTTGTTGTCATTTAGTTAAATTTAACTGACTGTTTTAAAATAAATTTACATAATGTATTCTACTTCCCTGTGAATAGGCCTCTGGAGAATATTTCATGTGACTAAATGTGTCAATCCATACCACTATTCAAGTATGTGAATATAGTGATTGTATCTCAGTATTATTTTTTTAGACACTAAACTATTTTTAAAAACTTAGATTTATACACATACTTCATTCTACCAGTATTGTTCTGTGTATAAGTCTAATATACATTGATTTGAAGAAAATTTACAGGCATTTTTATGTAGTAGACCTGTTCTAATAATATGAAAGACATAATGAAGTGATAGTATTTTTTCATTGCTATTTTATTTTCTTATTTATGTGTGACATTATCAAGTAGAAAACTTGGGCTGGCTGCCAAATTATCCTCTGTATCTTACTGATAATGATGGGAGTGCAGCATGGCTTATGCCAGTGATGTTTTAGCACTGATCTCATAATGATGTCATTTATACGTGATGTAATTTGGATATTTACATACTACACTTCAGATTGCAAAATGTTGCATGGGATTTAGGTAGTGTGATACGTTTTTAAAAAAAAACAAAACAAAACAAAAAAACCAAAACCCCAACCAAAACCACCATGGAAAACAAGGGATTGACAACAAAGAAAAAGGCATGTATTCTATAGAAGTTCAACAACAAACATACCCTTTTCTGTGACTTTTTCATGCTAGGTTAATCAACAATATTTTAAAGCTGAAATATGAAAACAAATCATAGAGGAGCTTTTTAACAAGTAAAGTGGCTTCTAAGAGACTTTGTTAAATAAATGCAAGTGGTTTTCTATTCTTACTTTTGTTAAGTAGACATGGACATTGTTTTGTGTTACAAATGCAGCTTGAGTCTTCTGAAAGTATTCTACAAGAAGCTGCCACATCTATCTCTGTGATGACCGAGTTTGAGCAGGAAATATCTTCTCTTCATAACATAATAAATGATATTCAGAACAATGAACAGGCTCTCTCTATAAAGATGCAGAGCATTAATGAGAAGTTCCAAAATGTTACAAATTCCTGGAGAAGAAGCTTGGATGAAATGAACACAAACACTAGTGGTTTAAAATCTGAAGTGAAGTTCATACATACAGAAGTAACTTCCCAAATTAATGAAGTTGACCAAAGAATTAAATCCCTTTCAGAAAGAGTAAGAGATTTGGAAGACAGTACAGCCAGAAATATTAAAACACTAAAAAGGCAAGAAGATGATGAATTCTCTAGAGTTGAACAAAAGTTGGACTTACATGCAAAGGCAGTTGAAAAGCTAGAACAACAACAGAATACTCTCGTAGCCAAGGACACAGACCTGAATCAAAAACTTGAGAGCTATGAACCTAAAATTGAGGAGTGCAAGACCCATTTACCAACAATTGAAAATGCTATTCACTCTATTCTTAGATTATCAAGCGAATTGCTAAGTATGGAGAAAAAGATAGAGGACTTGACAACACAGCTATATACTGCGGAAAATGATATGTTGAAAACTGTTTCTGATACAGTGGCAATGCAAAAGGTTCTTGAAGGCATACAGTACAATGACAGCATATTGAAAGCGCAGAATGAAATAGTGGTTTTAGAAGAAGTAGTGCATGACATAAAAGTATCTTCAAAGGCAAAAGAAGTAACTTTAGAAAGCTACACCTTGGAAAATGACCAGAATGGGGATAAGTGAATTTGGACTTAGGGTTTTCACTGATGAAAGAGCACTTTAATTTATTAGTGAATAATGTGACTCCAACATGCTAAGGATAGCTCCAATATTGTCATCAATTTAAATAGGCATTGGATCAGGCTGAAAGGCAAACTTATAATAAAGATGATAGCAAGAAATACTTGTGGTGGAGGAGGCAATGAATATTTTCTTAATTTAAGGATTATTTTCAGCTTATTTATTAAAAGATCATTTTTATTAAAATGGAATTTAAAGCAAAGTATTTAGATTTAAGGAAAAAAAAATCAAAACCGGAGCCATCAGATTAAGAGTTATATTTAGTTCTCACTACTTTGTTTTTTATATTTTTCTTTTGGCATTATATTCTATGGACTTGTAACACAATGAACAACTAAATTCATATCTCTAGGCAGATACACATGTACCTCACTTTTAATGTATTCAGTACCATAATGGTTTTGTGCTTAGGGTACAGACTTCTCAATGTTGGAGTTGTTACTGGGATCTACATATTTTATTACGTGCAGGAAAGCACTGAGTACATTTTTAACAGCTGGAATATACAACAGCATTACAGAAAACACTAGTAAAATACCCCTTTTTGAGAACCTTCTCTTGTACTGGTATTTATATGCAGGGGGTTTCATAGCAGCTGGTGCTGTCTTTTATTTATTCAACCCCATGCAAGTAGCCTCCTTAGACCTTATTTCCAGCCTTTTCAAACTTTTTAAAATCACTGGCATAGTTTTGTTTTGCCATTGAAGTCGTTGGCCTCCATAGAGACTGAAGTTCTTATGAACAAATATTCCTGTTACATTCTTCCATCATTAATTTGCAAGTTTGGTGTGATCAGTTACTGTATTAGTTTGGGGATTGTTTTTGTGGGTTGGTTGCTTTGTTTTGGCGCTGTTAGAAACAAGTTTTAACCTTTTCTTCTGTAGAATGTTCTCTGTTAGGCATTGCATGACATGTCTGGTATTGCTTTGCATTTCAAAGGGAAAAAAGTTTGGTGAACTAAGAGCTGCAAAAGCTATTTAATGAAAGCCATGGAGTTATATACTTGAGGGCAGGGAATATCTAATTTGTCCATAGATCTAGTAGGTCTCCTTCCATAGGACATCGTACTACCTAATAGGCCTGGTGGCTGTTCATTGAAATTTGGATCTCAGGACCACCATAAATTCGTGTCTACAGACTTATGTCTTCATAATTTCTGATTCCTGAACTCAGGAAAGGAGATTGCTTAGTAGACAGTATGAACCTACAACATTTATGACCTAATAAGGCTTCACAGTTGAATTATTCTGGTTATGTACATTCATTTATCTAGAACTCTACTGAAATCTTCACTAAACAGTTAATGCTGCCCATTCAAGAGACGCTAAACCAGTATTTCTCAGTGTTATAAAGTCTATCAGTTTCATATATTCCTTATGTATAGATTTGTATCTGTTTAGAGTCATATTCAATAAAAAAATATTGTAGTGGATTGCCCTGTCCTGGTGCATGATCTAGTTCAAAATAGATTGCTCTTCCAGAAAGGGTATGGAATAAATACTTGAGTATTCAGTGTTCCATTAAAACAATACTATTCAATACAGAAATGTTTTTAAAATATTTTTCGTAAGTGTGTTCCAGTGTGTTTTTACTTCATATATTTTTGGGGCAGGGTGGCTAAATTACCAATGGTATGCTCCCCCATTTAATGTCTTTCATTCATCAACCTCAACCCTATTGAAAGCTGAATGTACACAAGATTGAACAGGAAATCCTCATCCTTAGAGGGCATTACCTAGAAAACCAGCAGAACTCTCCACAACCTGAATTTTGGCATTTTCTTTTTAAGCAGACAGTTCTGTGCTAGTGAGGAATGACCAACACTATCAAAAAGTTTAAAATATTTGTTTCTTTGGTGATATTTGTACTAGTAGTGTCAATAAAAGGATTAGTATGAAACTAATTATAGCTTCCTAGAATGTGTTTCAGCTTGCCCGTTTGGTGTTTTTTCTCCAAGTTCTGTGCTGACTTATTGGGGATTGAAAAGAATAGTACCACTCAGATGTTTTCCTTTCTTCCTCTCAAACTTGAAAACCAAGAATGAAGCATTAAAAAAGCCCAAAAAAGTGAACTATCACATTCAGCCAAAAATCCAACAGTAGCATGTTTCCTCGCTAACGTTGCTTTTATGGAGGCAGGCTGTTGAAGTAATGTTTTTCCTGAGAAGTATTTTGGTGGCTGTTTAAAGGGAACCTTTGGCTTTTTCTTCTGTGAATCTCATGTTCAAAATACATATTCTGGTTTCCAAAAAAACACCCCCACATCAGTTAATTAAGGTCCATGATTTTTGGATAAGAGAATTTTAAAGTAGGCATCTTTCTAAAATGTTTCTGAATATCTTTCTACATGTGTCTTTCTGGATCACACAGGTTACAGGCTTAAAAAAATTTCTGTAAATCAGAAGATTGCATTTGATGACTTGTGTTTTCAGAGGTCATGCTGGAAAAGTCATATAGCACCTTCCTGTAATTTTTGTTACAATAGAAAAAGTAGTAACATTTAAATTTGTTATGTATACTGAAATTAAATTTTTGGTTGTGTTGCAACGGGAGTTTATTTCTGAAAGACAGGGTTTGCACTCAATTTCTGTATCAGAATAGTAAGGTATGTCATTGGAGTATAGCTTTAATTTTGATGTGAGTTGTTAAGCTAGGAAACTTGTGAAATATTTTTATTTGTATCCCTCTAGTGTGAAAAGACTTGGAACTTAATGGAACAGCTGGAAGATCTTGAAATAATTTCTCACATTAAACATCTGAAGGAAGACATTTATACAATGAAAACATGGTCTAGCAGCGTAATTAAAAAACAAGAAGAACTGCAGAAGAATTTAACAACTCTTTTTCATGCAGTTTCAAGTGTTGAACAGAATGCAGTTTCTCTAGTAAAAAATGTAACTTTGACGGTTGTGACAGTAAAAACTGACATAAGGCGTGTTTCAGGCCTAGCCTCAGATATGACTGCACTGACAGATTCTTTGCAAACACTAGAAGATAAAGTAGAAAAAGGTGAAAAGAAAACAGTAAAAAATATAGGTGACCTGCTTACCAGTAGCATCGACCGAAGTACAAAACTACAAAGCTTGGCATCTAGTAACGCAAGAAAAATTGAGCAAATTAAGACAGCATTATCTGAGTTAAGGAGTGATTTTAACAAGCATGCGGATAGACTTTTGAATCTTGAAGGTGACAGAGCTAAAGTTCTGAAGACGGTTACATTTGCAAATGATTTAAAACCCAAGATGTACAAACTTAAAAAGGATTTTGCTGTCTTGGAGCCATTAATAAATGACCTAACACTGAGAATAGGAAGATTAGTGGAGGACGTATTACGACGGGAGAAGGAAATTGCTTTACTGAATGAGAAATTGGCCAATCTAACCAGAGTTCAAACTGAGATCAAAGATATGAAAGATGAAATAACCAAGATTTCAGACATGAATTGATCACTGTGAAATATCACTGGCTAAAGAACAGTAGTGTTTGAGGAGTGTTAACTTCATCACATGTAGTACTAAGAAGACAGACAATTTTTAAAGGCTTCATTTAGAAGCACACAAAACTTAACTAGAAATTTGTCCTTTTCCTTTGAAAAGGACAGAAAAAAGTCATACTGATTTCAGGGGACAAGCTGTAATGTGAGCAAAACCCATGTCTCTCTCCATGTATTTGTCTTTCTGAAGGATGACAGATGCTATATTTAATAAATTGCTTGTTTTGTACAATAAACAGTGTTAAAGCATAGAATGTTCTTACCTTTGGAGTATGCTTTTATGAAGAAAGCAGGACCCAAGACTGACAGATGTTCAGCTTTCCTTTTCTGCTCCAAAGGAAGGAATAAAATTGTGGTTTCCAGATAGAGTTGAACAAGAGTTAGTCAAACTGCGGTAGCAATTTAATATTTGTCTCAATATATTCACTCTATGATTTTTGTAAACTATAGCATTTTCCTTTTTTTTTTTTAAATAATCAACATTTAAAGAGGTAATGCAGTGAAACAAGCAGTGCCCAGAAATACTGCTGATATCTTGCAAAAAGTTTGTCACACATTTAGGCAGAATAATTTGTATAAGGTTTTCTGTGAGGCTTTATAATTGCAAATTGTAATTACTGTGCAGCACTGTTACGTCTTTAAAACACAGAACTGTATATGGGGATGATGGTTTGAAAGACCTACTAACCCTACTGATGGCTTTCTCCCAGTGTCACGGTATCTGCTCAGGAATCCTAACACTGTTATTCATTCATTGTTTCTTAGCCTGTAAAATACTACTGTGAGCAGCAGAATTAGCAAAGAGAAGCTACTTAGGTCCGAAAAGGTTAGACTGATATGAGCCACTGGCAGTATTTCTGTGGTGAAGAGCAGGAGTTTGAGAGATCCAAGACATTTGAAAATGCAGTAGGCGATAGACTGAAGTAACAAGATAATGGGAATGGGTTTAGCAGAGAAAAGGGGGAAAAGTGCATTATATAGGAATAAAAATTACTATAAAATCCCTATAAATGAAATTATATCAAGAAGTGTAAGCATACAGTAAGGCCTTTATAATTTCTGAATTGTTTAATTGGTCATACCTGAACATCTTGCAGCTACTAGACTCTTGATTGTATGGAAGATACAACCATTCCCCTCCCTCACTATTCTCATCCTCATTCAGCATTCCGATCTTTTGGCCTGCTTCATGTTGCTGGTCTTCTGTACCTTGCTTGCTTCGTTGCCCTCAGTCAGCCTCAAATGCTTTGTTTCATCAAGCTTTCCTCTTTTTGATATAGGTCTATTCCTACCTCCCAATTTTCTTTTACCCCTTTCCAGTCCACCTGACAAACTGCAAGGATAAGCCTATCAAAAGACAAGTTTTCCTAGAAAGCATCCACAGATACTATTTACCAACCAGTGTCCCTTTGGTCTTTCACACAATTCTTAAGCAAGCCCCTGAAAATAACCAAATGGCATTTGAAGGAGACAGAAAAATTAAAAAACATCCAGAATGATCAGCCATGTTAAAGCGTGTGTTGTGTATCATACCTGAAAAAAAAATATATATACGTACATGCACATACAGACACCATAAGAGTTTGGGTTTACATAATAAATATATCTCATTTGTATATTAAAGCCTGATATCCACTGAATCCACCAATCCTGGTGGGGAGAGGGGGTTGTGTGCAAGTTCATGTTAGTTCCATCGTGGAGAACACTTGGCATAATAGACACGGCTATCAAATGAACGTTGATAACAGCTGTGTGAGAAATCTATGCTATGCATCTTTCACTATGGCCCACATGATGCAGTTACCAGTGGATTAATTGCATCACAGGCTATAGTAATTTTATTTATCTGTTTTCAGCTTTATGAATGAATAATTTGTGGTCAGTAGCCAGTAAAAATCTGGGGAGGCAGAACTGGAGAACCAGTAGAGCACTATCTACACCAAGTGAACAGTAGTGGAAAATATGCTCCAGCTGCACAGTTAATCACACAGCAAAGAGGTCTTTCTGGACAAAAAGAGCACACTCTGGCACAGTAACCAGAAAATAAGGGAGCATAAACAACTTGATTTCACTTTCAACCCCCAAATGAATAACCTCAAAATCTTAGAACACATCTACTAGTGAAAAGCTGAGTATACAGTCCTGTTCATGGTCTCCATGGGAAGCTAAGTATGCAAAAAATATTACAGACCCATTAATTTATCTATAGATGTATGCAGAGCACCTACCCTTCCTTCCCAGGAAGTGCAGGTCCAAAGCATTATGATCCTTTCAGAAACTTCGTTGCTACAAACAAGAGAGAAAAAGTTTAAATCACATAGGTAAAGTTTACTTGGGGAAAAAAAAAAAAAATCTTGATCTAAAGTTTACACATCCACTGTATTGTCCTCAGAAGTAAGGCAAGTGATCAGTAATTCTCCCATAATCGGTACAGGTATTACAAATCTTCATTTGCCCTTCAAGCACACACCTCCACTGTACTAAAAAATTAAATGCAAGTTTTAGAGTTGCTTTGTAATTACAGCGGTCTAAGGACAGAGGCAAAGCTCTTTCTACGGTGGAAAAGATGAGGCAGAGAGTGAGGTATTTTTAATAAATTTAAAGCAGACTGCTAACCTCATGCCTTTGGTTTAGTACTGTCAGCGGTGGGGAGAGCATCAACTCAGTACAACTACAACCCCTTACTGAGTTAATTTCTAGGGGCACTCAATGATACTCTACAATTTTACTAAGTGATTGAGAGATTCAGGTAATAATGAACATTACAGCTATGCTGCTTAAAACATATCATCCCACGCAGCCCAACCTGTAGTGATACTCAGGACACCTTTGCTTTTAACTTAGTATGCAGGTACAGAACTGGCCAATGACATTCTAGCCAGCAACTCAGAAGTTAAAAAAACCCACCAGAGCAGCAACAGCATTAAGTGATCAGTGCTGAAAAGTGACACGAGCAAAGTAATCCCAACATGTTAAAATCTACTTCTAGACACCAGAACTTCAGCTCAGCCAAGAAGTTTCTGCTAGCGACATCTTTCTCCCACATCACTCAAGCCATAAAAATTGTATCCTGTAACAAGGCCATGTAGCTACTAAGCTCAGCTATCCAAGGTACTCATCTTTGCTATAAAAAAGCAGGATGTTTATTGTTTTCACTGTGAACTACATAATTTCTATGTAGAAATGCAAATGAATTACAACTGTTTGTATTATTACAGCCCACTTTAAAATAGGTAACAAGCATTTCAGCAAGTATCAGCAACATCAGCATATTTGACCTGTACCACAGTCTGATAGAAACACAGGGTGTGAATGGAGTTGTTATTCCAAATTCATATAGACAGTACGCTTGAAACCAGAAAGGTGGTCTCGCCTCCAGTAATAGCAAGAAAGGATGTTTTCTCCTTCATAAAACAAAATACACAGGCAGCATATACATAATCCACATTTTACAAAGCACTTTTGGGTGTAGTGACTGGTCTGGAGTTATCCAAGTTATACTTGGTTCAAAATGGAGTGCTCCTTTTTGATACAGGACTTCCCTTGCAAGGAGAGCACAAGACCATCTGAAGCACTGCGGCTCCCCTGCTCCATGTTCTCAGCTTTTGGAAAACGTACACACATGCTACAAAGCACAGTTATCAATGACAAAGTTGACCTTTTAAATGCATTTTAATACTAGTTTTCTCACTGAAGCTTATTTAAAATGGTGACCCTTTAAGCCACAGCATTTTTTATATTAAACCCCTTCATCTCAAGCACCTGAACAAGCCTATGGCTGAATGTCAATGAAGTCAGCAGCTGCAAGGCAATTCTCTCCCCCTCTCGGGTTTTCCACTGAAACACACCACTAGAAGTAGCACTAAGTATATTTTCCCTTTCTCAGTTACAAAAGAACAGCACAGCTAGCTGCCCCTTGTAGTCTCACCTCAGATTTACCTCGATAAAATTATCTGAGCATCTATATGATAGCAGGAAGAAAATGGATTTAAGAGTCTCTCAGTACTTACTGCACATATTTAAAATATCTGCGCAAAGGTGACCCAGTTCTAGAGAAAAATTGCGTGACGTTGCTCCACACACAGAATGACAAAGTCTTGAGAAATTTAGCTTATCATTGGATTACTTGACACTCAAGACTACCCTACTGTATAAGCCAAGTTTGTCTCACTCTTCTCCCAGCCCTAAAAGTTGAAAAAAGTGCTTCACTTTCCCAGGATTAGAAGGAACTTGAGATGTTTTCCAGCAAACAAAGAAAAGTCTACTGAATTAAAACACACCTTTAAAGAAGCTATGATGTTCAGTACACAAAAGTGATACTGCTTTTTCTAACAAGTTGAACCATGTACAAAAGCTAACTTAAAAAGCTGATTTAACATCAATGGTCTTGATACAAGATCAAGTCATAGTTAATGCTCTTCTCCAAGGAAGCTCTTAGAAGCATTTAATGATGCGTTAAATAATTTCAAAGCTTCCCTCCCACTCATGACGGGGCAACAAGATGTACATACTTATCTCACAAAATATATTTAATTCAACACCAAAGTACTTGTACAAATGTTTTATTTAGACTTATGGAATCTGACTTTGCTGTATAGCGCAGCTGATACCAACCACTCTAAGAGTGCGTTTAGTGTCATGGTGACAGGGAAATACAGCAGTTTTAGATTTTACTCCACATTTTGAAAGGCAGCAACTCTAAGTAAGGCTCAGCTTGCTTGTTTAGCATAACCATCCAAAATCTTGGAAGTTGGAAGGTTTTCCCAGGGGAAGAGAAGCTCAGTGTTATGCAAAATGGTAGCAGGAACATCAGACTCCAGTAAGAAGCAGTGATCAGTATATTTATGCTACTCCAATGGCACCTGCTTTAATTGTCCTTTTTGACTTTGAAGGACACAATTAAAGAGGAAGGAGCAGTACAACATACATGAATGCCAAGCTAAGTTCAATAGTATCAGCTCACATGCTGAAAGGCAGCATATCCAGTTTTGCACAAAAGACACTTAAGCTCCAGCTCTACTAAGTGAACAAAGTAGTACTGGATACAGTGAACCC